GTGTGTGTGTGTGTGTGTTTGGTGTGTGTGTGAGGGGGAGTGTGAGGGAATGTTTTGACATGTGCGCATGTATGAATTTACCATAACGCAGCAAATTTCTCTTTGTGGAGATCAGTAAAACATTATCTTACCATAAGTTTGAAAATAAATTTTCAAAGCTTCCACTACATTTGTCCAATGTATAAACAATTCTCTTCCCCCATGCCAGTTCCTGCCATTTATCGGCATTTCCATGCCTACGTGTCATAATAATAAGATAATATTTTGCCGCATTTTTAAAACGAATTCTTCCAAAGTATGTTTCAGGTTTTTAATTGAGATTATTAGTGTTACTTCCAATCCAAGGGTTTCAGGTTGTGTTGGGCACAGCTCAAAATATGATACCTTTTTGTTTTGTACATCGTTGTTTTAGTTTCAGAATGCTTCATGGTTATTTTGACATATTGCTTGTTCCATTTTAAGTAAAGGTTTACTTGAGCCTCCTTTCTTAAAATAAGTTAAAAGTCTCCTTGTCCTTCAGGCATAGCTACAAGGTGACCCACATATGGCCCCACAGGGAGTGGAGACCTCCAATGTACATCGTTGGGCTAGTAAGTTCTGAATGGAGCATTTAAGTAGACTTTTATCCAATTTTCTGTGGTGTTGTTGTAAACATTCAGGTTCCTTCTGTGAATTGTTTGTTATTTGTTGATGGTACATAGGTAAGCTTTTTCATAGGTCAGTTGCTTTATTTTAAGTTTGCGCAAGTTACTTTTGAATATAAGTATACTTCCTTAAATGACCCGAAGATTTTAGCTTTGACTGTATTTTTGTTTTTATAGCTTCACTCTCTGCCCATTATTTCCAAATCTCTGGAAATAGTCTAAAAGTTAGCTATTTTTCTGGTGTAAGAAACAGCGATTTTAAAAATCCCCAAAACTTTTGTGGAAATGGAGAAAGCCCTTGAAAAAGAAAATTGTGAACAATTGTTGTAGTGTATATTATAAAAATAAAATTCGCTTCGGTAGGACGGATCTGTATATGATGGTCTAATACTGTCAACCCTGTCTAAGACAACCACCTGCCTCAGACAGATGGTCTTCTTGAACAGTGTCATGAAAAAGTTTAAAAAACGGCAAAAGAGGACATGGAAAGTGGTTGTTTGTACAAGTGATTGTCTTGGAAAGGTGGTCGTTAGAACAGGTTTGACTGTATATATGTATAATGAATTGATGGGACCTCTGTTCACGTTGTTTTCTTTGTTTTCAAGATGACTTGTACAGTGTTGATATATCAATGTGAATTGAATGGTGACACATTAACATGTGAAGCCACATAGTGAGGGGCTGCTATAGTGCACTGTTTATGTTCTTCGCACTTTTACGAAAGTCATGCATTTATATTCCTCAACATTTATTTGTCGTGAGACGACAAAATACAAGAGCATTAGATCTACTCATGCCCGAGTCTCTCCTTTTATTTTTTGTGTTCCGTGTGTAAGTTGTATCTTGAAGATAGTGCTTGTTGTTTTATTTTTATAAATTTTCGAACAAGATTTACTTAAATCGTAAATTTAATCAGTCGAAACTGTCTAAAAATGGGCCCCATTGTCCTTTTGTGTGTGTGTGTGTGTGTGTGTGTGTGTGTGTGTGTGTGTGTGTGTGTGTTTTGCGGCGCCTGCAACTGCATACGGTCATAATATGAGCGCGCGGGACACACTTTCAGTTGGTAGGAAATTTTGAATTTTCCCCGGGTGGCGGCCGGAGCCTACTATTATCGGTTTTAAACCACCAGGGGATTTTTGACGTGCGCAACTTGCACTTGGGAACTCCGAGATTTTTCGCCCTTGTCTGAGAAGGCTAGATGTCCATCTTTCCTACCAGAAGATCTGGGGTGTGGCTGAAAGACTGCATTAAGAAGGAGTAGCAAAGAGTAGCAGTAAAAAGCTGCAGAAAGAGTCAGGAGCCCAGAGGAGGGGGCAAAGGGGGTGAAGGAGTGGGGGCAGAAAGTGGAGACGAAAGCAAACGGTAGAACATTACTAGAGAGCAGGAAAATGAAAGGAGACAATTTAGAAAAGAAAATGTTTCCGTCACTACCCGGATTCCAACCCCGGACCTTTGAATGATAGACGAACAAATAAAACTCTATAGGTCACGAGAGTCCCCACCCATTGTCCAGAAGAAAATGGGTCGTATTAGACAGATGGCATTCTTATACACTGTCATTATAAGGTAAAAACCAAAACAACTGTATAGTAAATGAAAAAAATACACAAAGCAAGAAATGGGAAGTGGCCTTTTGAACAGAGAATTGTCTTAAACGGGTGGCCGTTCGAACAGATTTGACTGCACTTATAAGTTTATGTGCGTGTAGAGATACCTGTAAAATTTTACCTTCGTACCCGCACGTAGATGCACCGCTTTTGAGGGCTAAACGCCGTATTTTATTTTGTTTTGTTTTTTGCTGCACAACACACATAATATAGCCACTATAGTACCAGACGCCAGATATTTCTATCTTTGTCTGTGACTGAGAGTCTTATAACATGTATGTATGTGTTCAGTCCTTGACAAGTTGAACACTTAATTAGTCACTTGTCTACCCCAGAATTACAAAGTTCTCTTTGCTCAGTGTCTAGTTTTGAGAAATTTTACATCAAAAACTTTTTCACAACATTTCAAGCTTGTTCGAATGCAATTCTTTATAATTGATAGCGACTCAAAATAATCTTACGATTTAGATATAACAGATTGAACATACGATTTCTGACCACATGGTCTTAGTCACTTAGTAATTCAAAAGGGGCAAAAATGTCAAATTATACAACTTTGTATTGTTTAGGTAGCGATTGTCATTGTTGGTCTCTCGCACTGGCTAGTGTCGGCGTGTCAGTGCTGTAATTGTGACTCCGATAAAGTGCCGTAGACTCCAATATATCGGTGTTTTTGCCCTGTCCTGGATTTATAGTGTAAGGTTTAAAGTGTTCCCACTGGTCTGCTTAAGTAACAAAGAACCATCGTCTGCGGTGTATCGGTTTGGTAGAATGCAGAAGACCTGAGTTCGATTCTCAAGGAGAAGATTTTTTGTCGAGCATCTCGGTCTTTCTGATTGGATGTTGTATCTATCTCAGGGTCGGAACCCGCCTCCTAATTGATGTAAGAGAAGTACATTGAAGTCTGCAGGCACTCCCAACCCCCCCTCCCAAAAAAAACCCTCCTTAACTCACCGACGGCCTCTTTAACTCACTCACTGTCTGAGTGTGACTCCAATCAGTACGCTGCTCATCAGGTTTCATTTTTAACTCGTCTTTTTTTTAAATTAGTAAAGACTCGTGGTTGGCGGGTGTTCTTATGTGGTTTGCTTCTTTCCAATCGAACTGGTTGTCCTTATCTCTCTTCCTTCTTTTCTCTGCGTGTCACTATCTAATGATATTTCTAATTTCTAATTTTCGGCACTTAAATAATATGACCTATCTGTGTTGCAAGAGCCGTAATAAAAGCTATGAAATTTAGCCTTGGTGTTTTGCGCCCCCATCGACATAATTTAGATAATTTAGGAAGCCGGCTTCGATCATGTCTGTCAGGGCCAACAACGTCCCTGCAGAAAGACCGGGGTACTCGATGAAAAAATTGTGCCCACACGAGAATCGAACTCGGGCCTTCTGCGTGCGACAGTGAAGCGCCTAACTGTTTCACCTCAGACACCGGTCGCCTTGGTTGTGGTGCTCAGAGATTCTTTTTACTTTGACATTTACACAAAATGTTCTTTGGTAGCAAGATTGTGTTTACGGGAAGTTAACCGATTCCGATATCTAAGGGCTTATATCTTACACCCCTATCTTGAGGGGAGAAAGTGTATGTTTGTGGGGAGGGGCCTGCTGTGCTCGCCACAGAGATGGTATTGGCGGACAAGTGGAGGAAGGGCCAGTGTGGGACAGTCATTAAAAATATAGGAAAAAGGGAATTAGACAGAGGTAGATCAACAATTTGAAGAGATAGCCGAAGAGAAAGGATCGGGAGAAAGAGGGGTGGGGGAGAGAGAAAGAAGAAAAAAAAAGAGAGAGAGAGAGAGAGAGAGAGAGAGAGAGAGAGAGAGAGTCCGAATAACGAAATGAGTTGGAAACCACGACCTCCAATGTTGATGTCTGTTCCAAATGTTGAAAAAGAAAGTGAAATACGAAAAATATACCTCTTGACTTGTTTTAATTGAAAACTTATCTTTTGATTGTATTTATGTATGCCAATCCAGTGGCAGGTTCTATCTTTTGAACGATGGAGAAGAGTGTTATTCAGAATTGTGTGACTGGCGTCTGTGACGTAGTGGTCAGGCACCTCGCCGTCGCACTCAGGAGACATAAGTTCGATTCGCGTGTGTGATACTATT